TCAATATCTGGAGAGAGTGTAATAATTATCTTATATAATATAATATTATATAATAAAATATTAAATACAATATGATAAATATTATATGATAAATTATCTTTAATGTCATATAAGATCTCTCATATACGTATTTTCTGTAAAGTTTACATTGTACGCAGTTAAAAATCTTGTTTACAAATGTTAAAATTTTCATGTATTACCTATTGTTGACTGTTATTTTAATTTAAAATTGACATATTACCAACATGTTAGTATTTTTGTGTTGTTTTAATGTATTATATTAATGTCAACTTCGTTTTTAAAAACTTTACGTTTTCGTATGTCATTTGGAAGTGGAATATTATATTTCGAGTTCTTTTAATATAATTATTAAAAAAAATAAAGTTTTTTTAAAGCCACATTAATATTCACCACAACTAAAAAAACGAGTCTTCAAATCATTGTAAACTTTGGCATATAGAATAAAAATCTATTAAAAGAAAATGTTTCTAGCACGAATAAGTTAAATCAAAGTAATTAATATCATATGTTATTATAATGTGAAAAATAAGTTATTACGTGTTCACCTTTGTATACGTTCACATTATATGAACAAAAATGTCCCATCGACATTCCTTGTAAGTTATTTTAACTATTCTTCTGTGTATTTTTTTATGTTTATTGTTCATGTTATTTTTATATTGAGCTTAAAGTCAGAATAACAAATATTAATATAAGAAAAAAATCGGTGAGTGTCAATTAATTAACATTCGCAATTCATCGATAAGCAACATACTACGAATGAGTTATTTTTATATAAACTTTAAAATGGGTTTTTTGGGACATATAAAAAATGTTAAAATTAACATTTTATTTTTAACTGTATATTGATTACATATAATTACAAATGCTTTTATATTACGAAAGTATACGCAGAAATGAATTGTAACATTGTTCATGCGATGAAAACGATGAAAAGTTTCAAAATTGATATCTTGAGCTGTCAGTTAACATATGTCAAATTTTATAATATTCACCCTTTGTTATATAGTATTTCATATATGGAACTTCTTTCTTCACAGTTTTTCTATTATGTTTCTACGTATTTCATAATTGGTAACATATTTAGTATCGCTATGTTCCTAAACATGAACAAATTATTGGATAATATGTTCAAAAAGCAAGATTTTAATGTTTAGGATTCCAATATTAATTTACCTTGGAGGAGAGAAAAATTTTGGAATAGTTAGTGCAATGATAATTTCAACGCGTGGTGAATACTAAAACGCTGTAATCGGGTGTGCAAACGACGATACCGCGTAGAAACATCTGTCGTGGGATTGTCGTGGAGTGGAACAATTCTCACATGACTTCGCGCGAATATAAGCGTGGCAGCCGTTTTTCTTTTACCACGTTTAATTAATCCGGCTCGGGGCAATTGTGTCATATGGCCAGTGGTAGTGAAGTGCTTTTCCTAAAGCGAATTATGAAACGACGCGTCGTCGAGAGGCTTAGTTTCGTTCTCCAGTCAGACGGAAACGCGACTCATTTGTTGTTATCGTTTGCAGTCTTTGTACTATTTTCTCATACATGAAATTTCGGTTTTTTATGTCAATCAATTTCACGGGAACTTTTTTCACGCAAAAAGAACTCGGCAAAAAATTTAAGAATTTTAACACTATAACTATCAGAGCAATTGAAATGACACGCGGTTATTTGTAATTTCTTATAAAAATTACTAAAAAAATTACTCAAACGGCGTATTTTAATTGACATTGGACAAAGTTAAGGAAAATAAATATTTTTTTTCCTGGCATTACGCGTATTTCTTTTAAAATTCTGCCATTTTAACTGCTCTGATAAAAATAGGTTATTAATCGTCGGTATACCGCAAGTTTAAATGTTTTAAACTATAAAAAAAAGTGATTAAATAGACTCTTTTGATATAAAATCAAAAAAGGGGAAGAAGGACCTATAAAAGCCAATACATAGTAATGTAATCGTAATCAAACTAACTGAGACTATAAACGTTGCGCACGTTCCCTCTGGAATTTTACGAAATAAATATTTCCTCTATACATCAAGAAGCCATGCACTACTTTGCATGCAAAACTTTTAGTTTTAGTTAGTTTGATTACACTATATTTAGTTAATTTGATTACACTATTATATCTGTATATTGGCTCTTATAGGCTCTTCTCCCTCTTTCCCAAGTGTTATTTTGGTCGAGTCTTTTTACACGTTTGTTATTGTCTTGAGTCACGTTATTTAATACATTTGAACATATAAATTATATATAGATTATAATTTATACGTTTCTTAAACATGTTAAATGACGTGATTTAAATTCGCACGAAACGAGTAAAAAGAATCGAATTAGCACTAAAGCTATGTAAGAGAAGCCGATTCTCGCCTGTTATCCAGATAGAAAAAGTGATCTTTTTCTAACTAGTAACTGAACAGAAATCTTGTTATTGGCTACTTTTTGGGTAGTTGGGTACTGGCGACGCTTCTTCGCCAGTAGCTGGACAGTAGAACTAATTAGTTTTAGGCCAGTTTCTAACTAAACTTTTTTTTTGTATAAAATTTTGTGAAATAGTTTTCATACCATTCGATTCTATATTGTAAAATATTATGTTTTATTATTCAATAGAATAGTAACGTGAAACTTGTGTTTCAAAAGATAGAACTTCTTTCTCAACGTACGAACTAATTTATTATCAAGGTGGTTGTAGCTTTATTTTTAATAATCATTTTTCTTGTTTAGTTTTTGGTAAGTAATCGATGAAAAAACATTGGCCAGTATTTTCCAGGTTTTTACTGGACAGAAAAACTGCCTAGCATTTATTTATTATTTTTCATCGCCTAGTTTCTGGTTAATAACTGATCAAAAAATATTAGTTAGTATGTTCAATTTCTGAATAGTTATTATCTATAGTCTAATAAATATATTAAACAATAAAAATTGGTCAGTTTTTGGCTAATGAGCAGTTTTTCCTAGAAATTTTCTTCCTATCTCTTTCGAACGTCGACATAATTATATTTTTTTTCCGCGAGGATCTTTAATTTAAATTAACAAAAAAAAAAATAATTAAATTAACAAAAAAAATGTAATCACGAGACTCGTTAAGAAACCCGCGGAACGTCCTTTCTTATTTAACGTTGCGATTGTCGCGCGCGATGGACGATAGCGACGTGAAGAATGGCCACTTGAAGATCGCGGCTCATTTCCATTCGTCCTCGATTCCGTCGCGCGCCACGTGAAGACAAATACGTCTTTCACACCCATTATCGGCAGCTAACGTTGGCCGTCTCGGTGAACTTTACTTACCTATTTGCTATCTTCGCGCATAGAACGGATCGGCGTGTAGGAGGAGGAGGAGGGTTAGATGAAGCTGGAGGAGGAGGAGGTAACGATCGAGGAGGCTCGCGCGTTTCTCCTTGCCTCTTGACCCTTCTCCGTCCGCGTAATACCGATAGATCCTTCTTCCACCTTTGACTCAAACGGGTTGGCAGGGTTGTCGGGTCAGCCGGGCGTTAATTATTGACACGGGCTTTCGGTACATAGAGTTTCAGACGATAGTGGACCGTTCATGTCCGCGGACGTCGCTCTAGAAACATGGATCTCGTAGATGTTGCGCATACGAAACACGACGTCGGTCAGGGAGGTAAGAGGGATTACAGTAGGGCGATCGGGAGATCGTCAAGTGGAGAACAGAGATGCGAGATAGGACGGGGCTAGATTTTCGAAGCTTGGTCCGTTACCCAATGAGGGCGTTTCCTGCTGATGCTTTAAGTGCGGATAATTCATCAAAGTCTCATTAGGCTAATGCCTTGGGACCCTGTACCTTGAACGGCATTATCATCCTGAGAACAGTGGTGGTAGTTGTCGGGATTTAGGAGCCACGAGCGTCCGGAGACTAATTTTTTTTGCTCGATTAGAGCAAGATTTGCAGCGTGTCGATGTTGGAAATTTGCGCAGAGATACGGCCGTTAAATCTCCGTTAAGAAGGCGTCTCCGGTTCACCGACTTCACTAACAAGGGAACATAGGCGACCCGAAAATTCACAAAATTGTGTGAAAATGTTTGAAACATTGTGTGCAAGTAGAGTAGTACATCCATAATATAAAACTATTTTTTGTTTCTGCTAAATTTTGATTTAAGGGGTGAAACCACCCCTTGAAACCAATGAGTGGGCAAAGGGAGGTTCAAAAATTTTTCATTTTTGCAAAATTTGAATACACAGTTGCGAAGAGTATAAAATATTCTATCACTTTTATACAAACTATTTTTTCATATGTCTTGTATTTTAGGAAATATTCGCTAAAAATAAAAATGTTATGTTTTTTCGAGGGGTTGTTTTACCCTCTTAAATCGAAATTTAGCAGAAACAAAAAATAGTTTTACGTTATGGATGTACTACTCTATTTGTACATAATGTTTCAGAATTTTCTGAATTTTCGGATTGCCTATGTTCCCTTGTGAGAAGATTTGCTCAAATATTGGGATATTTCGTAAATTCACTCATTAATTCCCTGACAAAAATTTAATACAGTTTTGAGCAATTATCGAACAATTAACTTTTGTTTAATAACAGCTTGCATAGAAATGACCTGGTAATATCAGCTAAATTTCAGTAGTTGATTCGAATTTGGCCAATGCCCGTTTCTATCAAACAAATTAATCTAACTTTGGTTAATTTGACCGGCTGGTTATTCAAACAGAATTGACCAAGTGCTGCCTAAGACTTTTCCGTTTAGAAAGGTCGAGTGTCGTGATTAATTAAAACACAGCGATCACACGCAAATTCTATGCAGTTCTTGCCTAGCTTCTGTGCACAGTATTTTTACAATTAATGAGAATGCATTAATGCTGGACCATAACTCAGAAGATGTCTACGCAAACTGCATATATTTCTACTAGGTTTTATCTTTTATAAAAAGAAAAAAAAAGAAAGACATGAAAAACGGTCGAGTATGTTGTTCGTAGTTTGATTACGAGTGGCGTTCTCGTGTTTCAGCTGCTGGCGGAGCAGAAGAAGTTCGACGAGGAGTTGCGGCGGCAGCTGAAATTGCAGACGGAAATACACGCCGATCATCTTCGAGAGGCACTTTCGATCAAAGAGCAGGAAACGCAAAGGACACTGCAGCGCACGCTCAACGAGCAAGCTGAGGCTGAGTCCATAAAGTACAAGACGCAACTTGCTGCGGTAGTGGGGAAGTTACACGCTCTCTCGGCGGCTCTTAAAGGTAAGTGTCCATCGTCTCTTTATATCCTATTTCGACGGAAAGAGGAGCATTTTTTTTCCTTTCTGCAAGGTGAAGTGCTATTGCGTTTTGCGATTTACATTTCACGTGGAAAACTCGATTACGTTGTCAGTCGACGTCATTCCGACTAAACGGTGGAGTGTGAAATCTGTTACCGATTGGTCCAACAAAATCGACTCCGTCGCGATAATTTTACGCGCGAACTAATCATTCTCGAAGAAATCCTCCAAAGTTCGCGAGGACAGTCATAGTCTGCAAGTAAACAAATGTCTATCGCGTAACATCCATTGTGTCAGGCAACGAACAAATCATCTTTCGGGTGGAGTTGCTCTCGCCTTTGTCGCCTTTTCCATTGTACCGTGTCCTGGGCGTTTAATTACACGGGAAAAAACACAGGCTGTGCTTTATAAAGACCACGCGTCGAGAAAGTGTCGGCGACACATTTCGAGACGCTTGATCTCCTCCACTGTTTGTCTTTTCTCGATCCCTTTGTCCTGCCGACACTAATGGACCTCTCATGTCGCGATTCGGATCATGTCGGCTCGGGTTTCGTACAGTGTTGTACGATCAGTATTGTTTGCCACTCGCGCCCCTGTCTTTCGCCGTGCCAGACAGGTAACTTAACTGCTGAAGTTTGCAGGCGCAAAAAATCACGACTCCTTAATCACTCATGATAGAAGGACGATATTAATCGATATATCGCGCGTTCCGAGGATTCTGGCTTACAACTGCAAAACAGTCGAAAATTACTACAGATTATTCGCGCCGCTAATTGGAACAGTTTGGTCTATAAATTTAAGGATATTACTGAAAGAAACGTTTAAGTTATCTAAATTGATGTATACAAAGAGTGCGGCCAATAGTGGCTTAGATTTATGGTTAAAAAGTTTTGAAATTATTTTGGGTTTAAAATAAAGTCTGTGGTGCGTAAATTACAAATATACAAGTGCCAAAGTAGTCGGATCTCAGGTTGCAAAGATATAGCCCATTGAATATTCCATTTCTACAAGATAATTTATTTAATGTGTCATATTTATATTTTAAGAACTATATACAGGGTGTCTGAGATCACCCGTACACCCCTTTTATTTCGGAAACAAAGCATTTTAGAAAAAAACGTTTCAAAGAAAAGTTGTATGGTTTCGAGGTGTACATAAGATGGTGTCATTGATTTGACCTTGGATGGCGCCGCCAAGGTCAGGTCAATGTCAACTTTGCTTTTTTAAATAGAAATATGTATTTTTTATTACGGAATTTTATTCTACGTAAAGAAACAGCTTTTGTTTGAAAAATTTTTTCATACGACCGCTATTTTTTTACGGAAATATCTACAAAATTATTGGTTTCAATAAATTTTTACTCGAATTCTATCAACTTTATCGAAAAATGGTAATAGATAAAAATTGCTTATTTTCTTCTCATCGGGCTCTAAGAATTTTTTCAGAATTTTTTATTAATTTTTTAGTACTTCAAAAAAATGCAAGAAAATGTAGTATTAAAAAGTTAATCACCTTCATCCAAGGTCAGACTAATAGTAGCCTTTTATAGTCCCTTCAAAATCCTACAACTTTCATATTAAATATTTTTTCGTAGAACGTATACTTTTAAAAATATTGAAGTGGGGAGTTTTAAAATGAACACCCTGTATATGTGCGCGCGCGCACACACACACACACACACACACACACACACACACACACACACACACACACACGCACGCACGCACGCACGCACGCACGCACGCACGCACGCACGCACGCACACACAGACACACATATATATAATTCCTAAAATTTATATATATATATATATATAACATTAAATAAAAGGATAGTAAATTACTGCGGAATGTCGATCTATAATAGTTACAAGTTGGTAAGTTTTAATAAAATTTTATATAAAATAAGTTATAATAAAATTTTATATAAAATAAGTTTTAATAAAATAATTTATATAAAATTTATATAAAATAGGTTTTAATAAAGTTTTATATAAAATAAATTTTATATAAAATTCTCTCCGCTGAAAAAATGGCGAAATAGAAATAAAAAAAAGTTATGATTTATTCAAAACATTATGTCATGTAAAATATAAAAATTTGCGTGTGATTTTTAATAAATTTGTTTCTACATAAATTTGACAAAAATTACATAAAAATTACATAAAAATGTTTTTAATTGTATACTGTAAAATTAACTCAATACAATATGTTTGTCTCATAAATGTAATTAAAAATATTATTCCCATCATTGATTGAGTTTCCATCATTGATCATAGAGTTTCCGTCATTGATTACGTCTCATGTCGTGATAATTATGGAAGTGTATTGCCTCGAACGCTTATCGCGACGTGAGGCAATTAGAGGCGTGCAAACCGCGCTGTCGCTCCCGCTCGTTTCCGACTGTTTAGGGCTGCGTTCGGAAACGTCACTCGAGTACTCTCCCTCTCTTTTTATCACACTCTTGTATTTCGCTCACTCCAACGGCTATCGTCTAGTAGTGTGCACACAGTGTGTGTTTCCAAACGCAGCATATGCTGGCTCAGCATAAGTAGTCGGGAATGAGCGGGAGCGACAGCGCGGTTTGCACGCCTCTAGAGGCAATCGATGAAAACTCTACAATTTTTCAAATTACATTTTTGAAGCATTTCAATACACCGTATTGAATTAATCACTAAATTTACATCATACAATAACATAATGCTCTTTTTACAATGTATCTATACACCCACCGATTTACTGAAGTTGCACTCAGATTTTTACAGTGAATTTTTTACACGAGAGAAATATTGTTAAAGTCAAATTTTAATAATCCTTTTTTCAATAATCCTTTTTTTATTTATCGTATTTCTATTTCGCCAAGTAATAAGTACGAATGCTACGTGAGTTACTCATAAGGAACATAATCTTAACAAACCGATTAATATAAATTTGTTGCCAAACTTGCGTACACCTGTCTACCTGGGTTTTTGCAAATTTACAGTTATAAAGGTACATCGTAAGTTTCTACGGATTATTCGCGCTAATTGGAACAGTTTCCAAGACGGTCTAAAAATTTCAAGAATACATCGCTAAGAAAAATGCTTGCCTCACGGCAAGTTCTGTCAAACCGCTTTGAACATTCGTCGGGCAAAGTTCGTTCAGTCGACGGACATCGCGTCGCGTCACGTCGTGTCGCGTCGCGTCGCGTCACGGTGCGGTTTGCATCTTGTGGTGCACACATGCAACGTATAGTCCTATTATCTTGCGGTGGCTTTGTAATCCAGGCGCGGGACGCGCGACATCCTGAGATGTGAACCTCACAGTCCGAGATATCCCCGAGCGTGTCGCCCGTTCTGGTTTTATTGGTGGCAGAAGGATCCGGGAGTTTAATCCGGATTAACCTTGTGTTCGAGTTTAACATGGCGACGCAGGCACTTCCGTGGCCACCTTATCGCTTCCGCGTGCTGTGTGTCCACCCGGTGAGGTTAATTCTCGATTAACAAATCTCGTACACGACGCGCACTCACATTGCGCGCAACGCGTCGTCCGATAACAATCTTTAATTAGTTTCCATTCGAGTAATTTTCCGGTCACTAAACGGATTACGTGCGACACGTACCGATATTTCGCGCTCGCACCCTCGGCTAGTGTCTCTCTCTCTCTCTCTCTCTCTCTCTCTCTCTCTCTCTCTCTCTCTCTCTCTCTCTCTC